TAAATTTGTGCGCATCTTGTAACCATGTATCATCGCCAAATGCAAATCAAACATTACATTCAATTTATTTTAATAATAATAATAATAATATAATAATAATAATAATATTATTAATAATATTAATAATAATATAATAATAATAATAATATAAAAATAATAATAATATAATAATTGTAACTTAAATGAAACCGCTTGACTAAATCGAACAAACAAAACAGCAACCTCACACACACCACAAAACTCACCAAAATTCGACCAGTCGTCGTTTGACCGGATATCAACTCGCCAGCCCAATCCTTAGCCTCGCTGGCCCATCCTACCTCACCCCCCAACATCATTCCACTCCCTGAGGCTGCTCCCGAAGCACCCTCCTGGACAGCGGCTCCACCCCCACCGCCGCTACGGTCGGTCTCGTCGGGTTTAGCGTCCGGGTCCAAAATCGGGGCTGTTGTGAATGATGTGTTGGAAATAGTATCATTAAATAGTTATGATAATAATTATGATAGTCATAATTAATAATTATAAATACCATCAACGATAATAAAAAAAACGACAATAATAATAATAATAGTGACAACAACAACAATAATAATAATAACAACAATAATAATAATAATAAACAATAATAATAATCGCAATAATAATGACAACAATCCAACCTTTTTGGCAGAGCAACCAGGATAGAATCCGCCAGCTGAGTACCATGAGCAATCCCGTGAAGAATGTGATGAGGCTACTACAGAGAAATGCGTACCAATGCCGGTCCTTGAGGCAGAGCTCTTCAGGCGAGAGACCTGCATACGGGTCAGTGAAAATGGCCAGGTTATCATTGTTGTTGTTGTTGTTGTCTGTTGACATTTTGTTGTTGTAGTTGGTGGTACTGTTGTTGTTGTTGTTGGTACTGTTGTTGTTGTTGTTGGTACTGTTGTTGTTGTTGTTGATCCTGTTGCTGTTGTTGTTGTTGTTGTTGTTGGTACTGTTGTTTTATTTATGCTTGATTATGTCTACATTGTTATTGCTGTTGCGGTTAGCTGTTGATGTAGTTGTTGTTGTTGTATTTGTTGTTGTTATTGTCGCTTGGATGTAGTGTTTTTTTTGTTGTTGTTGTTGTTCTATTTACGCTTGCTTATGTCTACATTGTTATTAATGTTGAGGTTTGTTGATGATTTTTGTTGTCGTTGTTGTTGATGTTGTTGTTGTAGTTGCTGTTGCAGTTGTTGTTGCTGTTGTAGTTGTTGGCGTCAATGTTCCGATGACGTCATAACGACAATAGTCATCAAGACAACAGCCATTATCATCATCATCACAACGTCGTTCTTGTTGTTGTTTTCACAAACTTTTAAAGGAAAAAGATGATGATGATGGTTTGTTTATTGTTTTTATTGATGATAATAAAAATAATGATGATGATGTTGTCGCTGCTGTTGCATTCATTATACAATCAGTAGTAGAAGCAGCAACAGTTGTAGTAGTAGCAGTAGTAGTTGTAATTGTAGTAGTCGTTGATTACGATTACAATGTTGCTTAGGTATCCATTAATAATCCAATCAGACTTAAGTGCCCGCATATAGAAGATGACTATTATAGCTGATAATAGTTATGATGGTGACGATTTTGCTAATACTAATTAGTAAGAAGTAATGAGTATTTATTATTAATTAGTAAAGAACGGTGAGTTAGTATTTAAATACTGATTGATTAAATTTCTTAATTTTATGTCAATAAATTTGTTTTGAAGCGCTTAATCATTAAAAACGGAGAGCTCATTAACTTCATTATGAAAATTAATAAATTTAAAATATGAATATTGAAATTTTTAAAATTATTAATAACAACTTCAAATTTTTCTTTCAAATATTGTAAAAAAAAAATCATATCTATCTGAAGCGGAGAAAAAAGTGAACCTGCCTTTTAGCGTACATGCATACGTACGTACGTACGCACACGCATTCGTGAGCGCTGACAAACGTCAATTGTTGATAAATATTGTAACACGCAAGGCCGGTGTACAACAACGACGACAACAACATCGTGTGTACATATACAAAAATACCCACGTCTGTGTACGTATATCTACTCAAAGTGCGTCTACTTATGTACATACATACATGCGTGTATACATACATACATACATACATACATACATACATACATACATACATACATACATACATACATACATACATACATACATACATACATACATACATACATACATACATACATACATACATACATACATACATACATACATACATACATACATACATACATACATACATACATACATACATACATACATACATATATTATTATTATTATTAATGAAACATTTATAAGCGCTAATTAAAATCAAAAAGTTCTCAAAAGCGCTATCTATAATCAAACAAAGTCAAAAAAGAAAAAAGTACAGCCAATGGCGGTAGTAACAAACAAATAATTATTCACTTAACAACAAAATCAAAGCGAAAATAAGTAAGTTTTAAGTTTCTTTTTAAAATCATCAAGTTTCAAATCTTTAGTTCGATAAGCTGTTCCAAACCATTGGTCCAGATACTGCAAAATCTCTTGATGCTATCTGCAGATTGACATCAGGTACAACCAGCAAAATGCCATCATCTGATCTAAGGTTCATACCACTCATAATTATAGACTTTTTTTTATTTTATCTATCAAATAACTTGGTAACAAGCCATGCACAGTTTTATACATTAAAATACATATTTTATATTTAATTCTTTTCTTTATAGTAAGCCAATGAAGGCTCTTAAGAATTAGAGTAACATGGTTAAATTTGAGACCTCCAACAATCAATTTGGCCGCTCTATTCTGAATAGATTGAATTGCAGAAATAGACCTATCTGGCAAACCGTAAAACAGACCATTGCAGTAGTCTAATCGTGAATGAACCAATGCATGCACCATGGTATGAATAGCAGATTTATCTAATGACTTACGGAGTTTATAGAGTTCTCGAATCTGTCCGGAGCAAGAATTTGTTATCATCTTTATATGATCATGCACCGATAATCTAGAATCAAGAATGAAACCCAGATTAGTTGCTTTGTCACTAAATTCTATTTTAACATCTCCTATTTTCACTGAATCGATATTAAGTTTCATCAGCTGCTGCCATGTGCCTATTGGAACAAATTTTGACTTCTGCTGATTTAATCTAAGACCATTGTTTGACATCCAATTATCTATCACTTTATCATATATACATACATACATACATACATACATACATACATACATACATACATACATACATACATACATACATACATACATACATACATACATACTAACATACATACATACATACATACATACATACATACATACATACATACATACATACATACATACATACATACATACATACATACATACATACATACATACATACATACATACATACATACATACATACATACATACATACATACATACATACATACATACATACATACATACATACATACATACATACATACATACATACATACATACATACATACATACATGCATACATACATACATACATACATACATACATACATACATACATACAATATATACGCATGCAAGCACACAAACATCAATCAATAAACAAACAACCATGTTTATAAAATCCGTAAACAGCAAAACATCGTCTTATATATCTTCTTTATCATTCACTTCATCGTCATCTTCTTTATCATCATCGTCATCTTCTTTATCATCATCGTCATTACAGTGTGTATGGTCATCATCCTCATCATCTTCTTCCTCTTCATAATCATCATCATTACGTTTAACCCAATATCTTCACAAGCTTACACCTACCTCTGTTTTAAAGCCCGAAGCGGACAACAGCAATGCTGATTCAAAACCGCGGTTAAAAAATTCTCAAAACTCTGCTGATTTTGCGATTTGAGGATTTTGTTTGTAGGGTTAGCCGTGGATTTAAGTGCGTTATTTAAAAAACCGCCCCCAAAGTTTAAAGTTCAATTTTATAAAATTTTCAGATTTAAAAATTTTGTTTTTACGTTTGTCTGTATGTATGTACGTGTGTGAGAATGTATGTGTATTCAATGGCCATAGCCGAGTCTCTCTGGGGTCCAGGTTGATGAAGCCCATCAAGCAGCTTCTTCTCGATGTTTGTTTACAGAATGATGAGAGGTGGGCAGTGGTGGGCGTAAGCACGTTTCAGATGGTAGTCTCATGATGATTTACGTATGATGATGGTGGTGTAGGAAGAATCAGCTCGTTGTCTGTTCGACTGACACTCTGCAGTTCGGATGACATCTTGTGTGCCGACCAGATGGTGATGGTCGGTGCAATGGATTACAGTAACGACGATTTTTAAAGTAAGGATTAGTTTCGTTTATTTTATTTTTCTCATTCATTCGTTAGTTCATTTTATCACACAATCTTTCAAATTATTCTTACATTAATTGATTCGTTAATTCATTGTATTCCTTCATTGAATCATTGAGTAATTATTTAGTTAATTCATTCATTCACTCATTTATTCAACCAATCATTCAATTAATCATTTACTCGTTTGTTTCTTGATTTACGAACAAGCTAATAAAAAAATTTGTTTACAGAATGATGAGAGGTGGGATGTGGTGGGCGTCATCACGTTTCGGATGGTGATACCATGATGACCGTTTCGTTGACAATTCGAAGAAAACATCAACAATAATAATAAATATTAACGGGTAATTTTTCGCCACGTACCTTAGAAAGTACTCGAATTTGAACAAATTTGAAATGTTCTGGAGTGATTTATTAAAAAATGGCGGCCTTTGGAATCGAAATTAAGAAAAGTTTTTCATTTATAAAATTAAAAATCTTTTAAATGGATAATTCATTATTTAAGGAATAACAAAAATAATAAAAACACGTGAAGAACCAAATAAAATTAATTTTCACTTTCATTTATTTCAAATAATTTGAAAACACATTTCTGACTCAACGTCCAGAAAATATCTGAGTTTCGTTGATGGTACAGCAAATTATTTAAACAACGCATTTAAAAACGATGTAGGAGTGAAATGAACCTATGGAAAATATCTCAAGTAAAGCGAGTCATACCTACCAGACAGGCAATTAGTTTTCAACAATATTTGAATAAACAAAAAAAATCATACAAAACGCTATGTATCTAATTAGGAAAATTTTTGATAGAGTTAGAAATCACATTTAAAAGTCATATTTCCGATATGTCTGAGTAAGGTTTTGACGGCATCATCGAGGTTTTTGGGAGCCGAAATTCTGCTGTTAGTTCCTGGATAAAAAAGATGAATCCTGGAATATTTGGATTCATAACCAAACAATTCTGGGATTGGCGGTACCTGACGTTCAGGTCCTGAGAAGGTGTTTACGGTCAGTGATTTCTGTGCTATCTTTAGTAATTCGATACGATCTTTACAACTTTGCGATAAATCTTCTAAATATCTACGGTAAGTGAGACGTTCTTCGTTGACTGACTCGTAAAATTCTTCCACACTTTTAACTAATTTTTTCACGTGATCGTCAATAGCCTGCTTCACCTTATCTCCCTTCGCTTGCAACTCTGAGATGATTCTCGATTTCTCCGAATCTTCGTCCAAACTGAAACTTTCCAGGTTTTTGGAGTAGATTTCTAAATTGCTGTGTATCAAAAAAATTTGCGCGGTTAACTCCTTTTTTTCAGTTTTAATTTTTGCATTGATATCTAAAAACTCATGCAGCGGGTGATCGTGGCCCAAACAAGATGAACAGATAAAAACATGGCACTGTTGACAGTAGAGGTTTATATCCTCGCTATGAGTAGGGCAGACTTTGTGTTGGACAACATTCGATTGAGTTGTCCAACTGGTTGGACCGACATCGTGCGTGATATTGCCTCTGATGTTGTTGTGCATTTGGAGGCAGTCTAGACAGAAAAGTTGCTTGCAGACCTTGCAGTATTTCACGGCGGCGTTCTCATCACAAAGTTCACAAAAACTCATACATTCACTGATCTCACTTTTATTTCTTACCGCCACAGAATTTAATTTGTCATCTGATGAAAGATCCAATCTACAGAGATTGTCGTCGTAGTTTTCCGTACAAGCGGAGCGAATCATTTTTTGCTTCAGTTTTCGGTAAAGTTGATTCCGAGAAGGATAAACAATGCGAATGTTTGCACGAGAGAGAGCTTTTTTTAGGATTTTCAGTTCTTGAAAGTCTGTGTGTTTGCTATCCGCTACGTACATGTAAATTAAATCACAAAATTGTTAATGAAAACGCAGTAAAAATAGAAAAAAAGTTTTTAAAATTTGAAATTTTTACAACATCAATGTTCCCGCCTCTCGGAACCACAAATTCAAAAAAACATTTCTACACAGGTGTGAGCTTGTTTGCAAAGAACGTGTAGATAGAGGCACCGTAAAATACAAGTGCGCTTTCTTAACAACAATATTATTATATAAAATTGAAAAACAATTATTTATAATATTATAGTTATAATTAATATAATAGAAATGTTATTTATGACGTTTATGTTATTGTATATATCCTACGTAACATACGAAAGACTAAACTTCAAAGCAGAGAACTTGAATAGGAAAGTTTAAAACCACTTGTCACTTGTAGAAGCGATTCTAATTATATTCCGATATGAGCGATGACACTTAACATGAGTTATTAATTTTCGCGATTTCAATTTACTGGTATTAAGCGTACCTATGCGACATCATTACACGGGCAATCATTATCAACAATGGAAGAAAATACCTAGGCATAAAACTCACTAATACACAGAAATACACACACGCACATACACGTATGATCATGGTCAATATGCAGAGTAAAACAACGCCAATAAATTCGAACGCTAACAGCAATACTTTCAACGTGATTCATCAACATTTTAAGGCATATTGGATGGATGGATGGATGGATGGATGGATAGATAGATACATAGGTATACAACGTATATAGAGAGAGAAAGAGAGAGGGGGAGAAAGAGAGAAAGGAAAACCAGAAGAAAAGGTACGAGAGAGAGAGAGAAAGAGAGAGTGAGAGAAAGAGGGAGATAAAGCTAAAAAAAGACAGCATAAAAAGAGAGACAGCGAAGGGAGACACAAGATAAAATAGAGTGAGAGAGAGAGAGAGAGGGAGAAAAATGATCCAAGATGATAAAATATTGAAGGATAGAGAAAGACACAAGATGTAATATTGAGGAAGAAAAAGAGATTCATGATGCAACATTGAAAAAGATACAAGGTACAATGTTGATGGAGGGAGCTCGCGAGAGAAAAGGTGCAACTGATTGACACACGCTAGCTAGGTCCTTAAAATTAGACTCTAGTTGAACTCCTTACCAGTTGCGTTTTCTCTTTTTTTGCACAACCAACTAACTACGTGTACTAGAGATGCCAGATACTTATGTCTTTCTACATCGAAATTACTGTTTTAAATACTTATAATTATACTAGTATATAACTTTCTGTCAAATACTCACTTTAAAGCTAAATTGTTAATGAATTATTAATAAACTACACTATGTAGCAAATAAATAATCACTCAAGTTTTCACAAAAAAAATGGCAATCAGTCCCAAATCAATCTTAATTTTTTAAATATATCTTCTTATATTAGCCTCTGTACCAAAGATTTTAGATCTGGTAGACATTCATAATGGAAAGAGATTGAGTCCCCAAAATATAGCGCTCTGTATGAAGAGAGTGTATCGTATAGCATATCTATTGCCGATACAAATGATAATAAGAATCAGGATATCAGTATTGTTGATTCAATCTCAAATGATGTCAGCTTCAAGGTATCTTGCGTGTGTGCGTGGTTTATAACATTTATTTATTATTTATTCAGTTTATTTATTAAAATGATTTTTAAATGATTATAACATATTTTGTTAGGATTAATTTGGCTTGTTCATTTGTTATAAAAATGTGATATTTTTGGGTCTGAAGAGTTTGTATGATATTAGTAAAGTTGATTGTAGCGACACGAATGAACATTCATTAAGATGTAATGTACATAGATTTTTTTTCCATCACAGAATCTTTATAATCTTTTTTGTTGGTCCTTACTACTTTTGTTTAAAACTAACCTTGAGAAATTTTGCCGAATTTTGCAAAATAGCGTGAAAAAATTTTTGATTATCAAAAAAATATAATGAAAATCTTTTTAATATTATTTGTTAACATTTAAAAATTAAAAGTGATATGAGCATACCAAATTAGTTCATTGACAGACAGTCAGTTAATTAGTTTTAATAAATCTAAACACTCTATTACGATTCTTTCTATTATCTTACCTGATTCTAAAACTCTTGATGTTTCTCACAAGTTTCGTAGTCTAGGCTTTATCTTTGATTCTAGCATGTCTCTTTCTTCTCAGATTCATAGTGTTGCTAGAAGTTCTTACTTCCATCTACGTAAAATAAAAAAACTTTTGCCTTTTCTTGACGATCCTACTCTTATCCTTCTTGTTACTTCGTTAGTCTTATCTAGGATTGATTAATTGATTATTGTAACTCGCGCTACTGTGGTCTCCCTGATTCTACACTCTATCCCATGGATATATATCTATATATCTATGCTCTATCCTTTAAGTAAAGCTTTTAACTCTGCTGCTCGTCCCCCTTTTTTTCTCATATATCTCCATATCTTGTTCTCTTGCACTGGCTACCAATGATTTAAGGCGAGGTTAGATAAGAAATTCGAGACTTTCCCTACAAAACACCAGATTTTTTTATATTCGTTGTTTTTTACAAAGGTGTATTGTTAGTTTCAGTAACATAGCTCTCCGAATTTTAGTGTTAATTTGTCAAAATTTAATTACTTTTTTTACAAATAAAAAGCAATAAATGGCAAGTTTTAATGAATAATAAGCTACTTTTAGAACTTTTTTCATTAGCGAAATGGTTTGCCATAGTGTCTTTGAAAATTGAATTTAACAATCTTTTGACTACGCAAAGTTAATTCATTATAACTCGGTAGCCATATTCGTAAGTTTTTGTAATATTTTGTAATATTTGTAAGCCATTAGTGTTAGACTTCGTCAATTTGTACCTCGATATCTCTTTGAAATGGGAAGATCGCGAAGTAGATCACGCTCATCGAGTCGTCGGAACAGGACCAAACACAAAAAATTGGCTCGCTCGCCATCCCCTTCTTATGAGGAGGATCGTAGAAAAAATAATAAACACAGCAGTAACATTAATAATAGTAGAAGACATGACAGTACCAGATCTAGAGATAAAAGGTAGTCTTTTTTTATTTTCTTAGAGTTTAATTTTTTTTTTAATTAAATATTTCGTTAATTAATAGCTTCTTCTTTGGCATGGGTATGCACATTTGTCACAGATGGGTACCACTGCCAAGCATTTTCATTTTGAAATTTTAAAGTTTTTTTGTAAAAGATAATTAATTTGAAATTTTCAATAAATAAATAAATTAAATATAAATAGCAACCATTTTTAATTGACTGCCACCCCCCCAATAATCTAAATGACAATGATCGAATTTTTTATTTTGAAACTGCTGTCCTTCCAATTTATAATTTTTAGGCATTTTATTTATTTATTTTAATATTTTATTTAGTTTAGAAATGTTGAAATTTATTTTGTTATAATAATTCTCAATGCTGGTATGTGTCTCCAAACCTGACAAGCGTAGTATACCTTATGCAATAATTTTTTTATTTATGATGATTTATAAAAAAAATATTTTCAAATTTAAAAATTATTTTCATTTGACGATAGATTCGTTAAACAAATTTTTAATTTTTGTCAGTTTTTCTAAAGGTGGTATTCAGGTTACAGTCCATTTGCTGAGAAAGGATATCATAAAAAATTTGAAAACAAATTTCTTTAGCCATGCTTTTGCAATTTCTTCACAAATCAATTCATGAATTTTATTATTAGTTTGTATAATCAATTACATTTATTCATTTAATAATTAACCTTTTTTTGTGCCTAATTTACCTAATTCTCGTTTTCAGAAAGATCAAGTCGATTACTGTGAGTAGCAGTTCTGACAGCGATAGTGATGTTAACATTAATAGGCGTATCGAGGAGGCCAGGAAGAGAGATGAGGAGAGGAAATGGCTTGAAACAGAAAGAAAACGACTTGCGTCAGTTTCTTTTTTAATTATTTAGTTTTTAAAAGTCTGTTACTTCAACTTTTTGTCTTTTGTTTGTATCATATGATCTATTTTGGCCATTTTTTTAATTTAAACTTTTTGCACACTTTGATGTTTAATTATTTTATTTATCATCTACACATTCTGGAACTAATAGACAGAGCCAACGCTATGAAGCCTGGCATTGTTTGATCATCATCATTCATTTGATCGTGAAATTTCGCTTGGCACATTTATTTTTTCAACCTCATTCATCTTGCTGGTTTTTTTCTTGCAATGTTTCATGCTTGGGATGAGTATATAGAATTAGGGAGAAAATTTTTCCCGTGCCCAAAATTCTAGAAATAAATATAAAAATTAATTTGTATTTCAAACATTTAAATATTTTCTAAATTACCTGACAGACGACAGAAAGAAATGGAAGAGAAGTACATAGAAGAGGAGGTAGCTCGTCGGGTTGAGGAACTCGTGGCCACCAGAGTGGCCGAGGAATTGGAAAAAAGGAAGGATGAGATCGACAGGGAGGTGATGAGGAGAGTTGAGGAGGCTAAGGCCATCCTTGAAAGACAGATTCTAGAAAACTTTGAGAAGCAAAGACAGGCTGAGATAGAGGCCCAGAGGTTGAAGGAGGTAATGTTCATTTATTTTGTTCTTATCGTTATTTAGTATCATTATCATATATTTGTATTGTGCATTTTGTTGACGCTTTACTGCTACTGACGCTACTACTACAATCATTTCTTTGGCTAACTTAACTTTCGTTTGTTGAACGTTTTAGATTTTTTTAACTTTTTCATTTGCTTCATTACCTTACTGTGATACTTCTAATCATATCTTTTTTGTTGGACCATCGTGTATACAGACTGTGTTCAGTCAAAACTTATTCTCACTTTTCTACGTCTACTAGTGACATTCACATTTCTGTAAAAATATAATTTTTATTTGACAGTTTGATTGAAATTTTCTGGTATATATATTTATTTATTTATTTTATTTTGTTTTGAAATATTTACAACTTACAAATTTTGATATGTTTTTTTTTCTAAACAAGACATTTTTTGAGTTTAAAACTTTTCAGCATATACAAATTTGAACGATGACATTTATTTATTTATTCGTTCACTAGTTTAATTTTTTCATTTTTTTTGATAAAATAAAAGAGAAATAAAAAAGTATAACAACATCAGATATGAATTTGTTTGAATACCAACCAATCGACTAACCAACCAGTCAATCAGATCTGGACATTTATGCTCACAACACTCATCTTTTCACATCGTTTTTATGAATCATCGTAAAAAAAATTAACAGACACCAACTATACATTGATTGATTGATTGATTGATTGACATCTAATCTAGGTTATAAAGCTCATGAAAGATTTTGATCGGCGGATACTAAGAGTGTGATGTGAAATTATCTTATCTTTCACGTAGGCATTGTTTACACAAAAAAGTGTAGTAGTAACAGTTGTTGTCGCTACTACTGCTACTGCTGCAGCTGCCGTTTTAGTGAAGATTTTTATGAGAGCAAGTTTATGTTTTTGTTTGTGGTCATTTCTGCTGTCCAGTTTTGTTGAAGTGCTTGTTGTTTGTTTATATTTACTTGTTCTCTTTTTGCATGTAAATGTCTATGTTTGGTGGTAGTTATGGCTTCATGTAGTTCAATTAGCTAGATATAAATGAATTTTGGGGGGATATTAGTTGTTCAGTGTTAATGATTTTTTGACAAATGAATGGATGTTGTGTTGTTGCTTAGTTGGATAAGCAAGTGTAGGTTTTGAAAGGTTTATCAGCACTAACTAAAGTTAACAAAGTTAAAGTTGGTCTTAATGGTAGCATTTTTTAACGATTGGATGAATAAATGATTCAATGGATGCCTAGACAGGTAAGAAGATCGATCATATCTACTGGAACATTTCATTTAAGATGACAAGATGATTTGAAGGAATTTTTTTTATTTTTAAATTTTGGGCTATCCAAATTTTTTGACGGCTAAACATTAGAATGTCCAACTTTTAATGACATTGTATGTTTTGGAAATTATGTTAGTTAGGATTCTTTGTTTCTCTGTGTTTGTTCCAACTTCTTGTTAATTACTGTGAGAAAATTGATACTTAATAATGATATAATGTAAATAAAATGTATTATTATTAATCTCATTATAAATTAATAATAATAAATTTCAATTTTATGATTATTAACCTTATTATGATTGACATGTTGGAATCAGGAGGAAGAGCAAAGGAAAAGAGATGAGCTGGAGAATATTATGAAGGAAAACAATAGGAAAATCGAAGAGGCCCAAAGAAAACTGGTTAGCTCTATTTGTGAGATCTTTTTTTTTTAAATGTTTGTTTCCATTTTCAAACATTTATTAGTATTTAATGTGTGTGTATGTATGTGTGTGTGTGTGTGTGTGTGTGTGTGTGTGTGTGTGACATTAACTCATGTGGGTGCTTTTGCTTAACTAATAACTTATATTATGTATTAAATACATATAATCAATATCAGCTGTTGTCAAACTGCAGTATATAACTTTACACATTTTATTATTATTGTTAAAAACCTTCTTATGAGTAGTTACTAAAATTTATTGTTATTATAAACACTAAAGATTGACATTTTTTTGAAATTTCACATATGCATGTAAATCCTATTTAATTTTTTTCTTGTAGGCTGAGGAACAGCTGAAATTAGTTGAGGATCAGAGGAGGATACTGGAAGAAAGGCAGCGGATAGAGGACATCGAACGAAAAAAATCCAGGATGGAACAGGAAATCATACTGAATAAGAAAAATGCTCGACCGCGTCTTTCGTTTTCACTTGGAAAACCTTCTTAAATTTTTTTTTCTTACTTTTTAGTTTTTTTTTTTCAAAACTCTTTTTCCACTTGCATATTATTATTTCGCTATATTAATTTTATTTATTTATTATTAAATTTCATTATAATTTTGTAACGTCATGTGTACATAATATGCACCATTATTTACATGTGTATATAAATGTGCGTGTGTATGTGTGTGCGTGTGTATGTGTATGCGTGTGTATGTGTGTGTCCTGTGTCCTCTTGAACATGTTCGGTTCTTTGTTGTAAAGTAGTATTGTAATATGATTGATAATGTAAATGCTTAACTGTTGGAAATTATATATGAAATATATAATTAACAGACATAAATAGCTTCTATATATAAATATATATATATATATATATATATATATATATATATGTTTTTTAATGTAAATTTATAAATATATATGTGTGTGTGTGCTTGTGTGTGAGTGTGTGTGTGTTTACATCAATATAATGTGAATGAACATCCTAATCCTTAAAGCTATTATTAACGTTTACAAACTGAAATAAGATTGTGAATCTGCGATTATGTAAACTTCTTTTTTTATATGGTTGCCCTGTTAAATTACTCTTTTTATTTTTTGTACACTGTTAGTCTCTGGAATAATAAATAATTTTTTTGTTTAGTAGACTCGTTCTGCAATGAATTGTTAAATTGTTAAGCGGGAGCCGTTTCTAATGTGTAACTTAAATATGCTTGAAGACATTTTAATGGTCGTTGGATCAATATTTTTAGATTGAAAGCATTTTTTATTTCAAAAAACGTTACAAAAGTTATCAATAAACTTTAGTCTTATAAATAATGAAGAAATGTAAACGTATTTATGAGATAAGTTAGAATAATGTTTAGCATTCGACAAACAGGCTAGCAATGAACGAGAAAGCAATGTGAGTTTATCTCTAAGGAGTGTTAAAAATAATTAAGAATCAGTTCTGCGAGCATCAAGATTAAAATGTTTCTAAATTGGTAAAGGATGCAAGCAGCGAAGGAGCATGTCCCATATGGTTCTAGCAGGTTTCCGTCGACACATCTCGCAAAAGCATTGCCTCTCAGTTTGAAGTGTTCGTTACAGGAGACGGAATAGTTAACGCGCGTCAAATCGTGGGCGTTCAATTTTGAAATGGTGATGTTGCCGTTCGGAATAGTTAATAATGTGTCACATGTTTTAATCATCTTCTCGTTTTCTTCGATAATATTTTTTGTCATGTCCTGAACAGCTACATTTGTTAAACCGACGCCGATGTCTCCTGTGACGATTGTGTCAAATATGCATTCCGTATTGTTTCCGCATCTAGGTTCAACTGGCAAAGGTCCGAAAAATGGACTGAAATCGGGATTTTGAAAATCTCTCCAACTCAATCCTTCGGGGTAGGAAAATATCGATGTTTCTTCAGTGGTAGACCACGATCTGCCGAATGTTTTGTGAATTTCTTCAATGGAAGACGTTACAGGAATCCATGTTTTATTTGGAAACATCAAATCATTGGCCTGGTTGTCATCCCAGTTACCTATCAGTCCGTAAACATTTCCTTTCAAGTGAGGCTGTAGAGAGGATATTACGTGGATCATATTGTTTATGCCTAGAAAGTGAAAACTTAAGCCTGTGGTTGTCACAACATTGTAATCTGATTCGTTTCTCATGTCTACATTTGCTGAGCCCAAATTTATCACCTCATCCGTCCATATTTGGTTTTCAATTCTCAACTGCAATCTCTTCCTCGAAGCCAGTTCTATCTGAAATATAACATCGTCAAAGACTTTGATAGCAAACGCTGAAAAGTAGCTGGCCGGTCTGGGACTGTCGCCTACCATGAATTGCTTCATTCTAGCTTGCACCATCGTGTTTGGTGTCTGCAAGTATATAAATTCTCCGACAGGATTGAATTCGTACGGAGTTCCGTCCATGGTAACAAAATGGGGATCACCATTTGCTCTGGCTGGTCGGGGAGGAATGTAATACCTGGAATCAATCGAAGGCCTTTTCGTGTAAAACTTATCACAGTCATCTGACATTTTGCAGCACAAAAGATAAGGTCTAATTTGGTTCCAAAAATAACCAAGCTTGGAGCTATCAGAATCAATCAAAGATAACGACCCACCACCTGGCGGTCCGATCACCAACCTACCATCACTATTATAACAACACTGCACAGCGGAACCTTTTGGATTGTTAGTGCTTCTGTAACAAATCTTGGCGCCTGGGTGAAAAATGTTGCATGCTTCAGGATTGGATGGATTGCAAGAGGAATCTTTTTTAAAACCCCCAGGAAGTTGTTCCGGAAATGTGGTTGGAGCGAGGGGCTGGCATGGATTGCGTCTTGCTTCTTCGTCAGCTATTTGATTTATACTATCTGTCTTTGGTTCTCCGTTATACCAGCTAGTGCATGTAGTTCCGATGCCGTGACGAAATATTTCAAATACGAAATAGCCGATGTTTAAAAAAATTCTCGTAGCTTTCAAACTTTGTTGCGGATCTAAAAAGTCAAACCTGTATTTTCCGGTGTTACTGACATTTATTGTAAACAGTTTTTCTTCAGTTTTCGCAATTTTACCGCTTCCATCGTATGATATATCTTGTTGGGTTCCTCTAATTTCAACCGTATCAGATTCGAATGCCAACTGATTCCACATTATATCAACAAATTTTTGTTCTGATGTGAAAATATTAAAAAAGGAACTGTTTTTAACGAGAGGATCTTCCGAGTCGAAAGGAATGTAAAAACTTTTGTACTCAGTGTTGTTCACTGAGAACACTATGGGAACCCTGGTTGTGTTATCGGAGTACGAAGTTGTACATTTTATTTTATTTTCAATCACGGGACAAAACTTGAACATTTTAATTCTTATATGAGTTAAATTTTTGTCTAAACACGGCCCACTTATGTACAAAACTTGCGGTCCGAAATAGAAAACTTTTTTTGGATATACTTGCAAAAAGCCCATTGAATTACAAGCTGAAGCAATCTCGTCGCCAATTGAGAACATCCACTCTCCAGGACTGCCAACATTGCTGTTCTGTAACGCATACTCTGATATCTTATCAGTGTTAGAGAAGGGCACTAAAAAGTATCTCTTCATATCGCCAGCGTTGAATCCAATTTGAGCCATAGAGTATTGTAACTTATCGTAGAGGAAAATGACGAAAGAGTGTATGCCATCGCTTGTTAGAATAGTCTGATGGTTGACAACATTTTGACACGATTGGTTGTTCTGGCAGTTGTACCTGGGCACCTGATTGAACGTGACAATTAGAGACCATGAACTCGTGAAGGAGTTGTACTGTACAAATTTGCTTCTTATATAATCAGTTAGGTTGCCCAATATCGCAGGTCTGAAATCTTCCCTGTAGAAAATATCACCACCAAACCTCGGGTCACTGTCGACCCAGTAAGCAGCCACTGACCGAGTATTGTTAACTGGGAATGGCGTTGGGGTAAATGCGTTGCTTCCTTCGCCGAAGTATAATATTCCGTTCGTACTTATGTGGATTTTCGAATATGGCAAACCGAAAAAGTGGAAATCGAAGTCGATGTCGATTGTGGTGAATGCGTCGTCTTGCTTGACCAGAGCGTTGTCTCCGTTCTCATGCCCAAAAGGGTAGAAATTCGCTGACTCAACGACGACGATCGAGCAGCAAAGAATCGTCACAGTCAGCCAGAAACTGAAAAAATTTATTTTTATTAAATTTGTTTTAATTCATATCTGAATCGTTTTGTTTAAAGTTAATTTTTTTGTGAAATAATTTAAATTTTATTTTAAAAGTTAAAAATAAAATATTCTTCTAACCGTGCTCCCAGAAGAGGATAATGTTTCTCAGCCATCAATCCCAATCCGACTAACTTTAATTATGATAAATAAATTAACCTTTTCCGTAAAAAATTATCATCAAACATTTATTTTGAAGTTTTTTTAATCAATTTTTTGTATAGCCCACCTTACGAGCCTTTTAAACGGTTACAATGATATCGAAAATTAGCGAAAAATGATATATATATATATATATATATACTAATTTACTATGTATATATACTATATATATATCTAGTATATATATATTCTATATATATATATACCTAGTCACTTGCATTTGTTTAAATCTAAAATTAAACGCTACCTGATTCAAAAAAATACTATTTTCTTGAAGTGTTTGTTATTATCGACTATATAAAATTATGTTTTTTTTTCTATGTACCCTATGTGTTATGTGCATGTATGTGTGTGAGAATGTGTGAATGATAGAATGCGTGTATTGTATGAATGGATCTATGTATAATTTCTTTTGACTTTAATATTCTATCTGATATTATTCGAATTTACTGGATTTAAATAATGTTATTAATTATATGTACTTATAGAATTTTTGTTATCTTTATTGGTTATCTGTGTTCAATAGTTATATATAGGTAATTATGTTTTGATTATTTTACATTAAATATTATTAACAATAATGGAAACATTCGTAATAACTAAAGAATATACTCCCCATGTATCTTTTATTTCGAACTAATTTAATTTTTGATTTTTGCTGAACTACTTTAATTTATGTTGATCAATTTTGATTTCATTTGGATAGGGTGACTTTTCTACATGCATTTGGTTGCTTCCTAATTTACCCCTCTTTTTTGAGAAAACAAAATAAATAAATTAATAAATATATATATATATAGGTATGTGTGCATGCGTGTGCGTGAGTGTGTTTGCGTGTGTGTGTTTGTGTGTGTTTGTGTGTGTGTGTGTGTGGTGTGTGTGTGTATTTTATTATATATCACGTGCCAGGATAGCAATTAATTTCAGGCACACATCTAAGGCTTAATTGTTGACTTCAGAGAGTATTTTAATTTACAATGAAAACAGTTTTTTTTGTGTTTGTGGTATTACTTTTATATATTTTTATTCAATTTTTTCATTTTTTCGACATTTCGATTTTGACTCCATTTTGAGTTGATCAGTTTTTAAATAGGAAAATATTTTAGTTGTTACATCAATTGAGCCATCAACATCGGCTTTATATGAAATTCAAATAAATAAACTAACTATAACAATAAGAATTATAACAACAATTATAATTATAAATAATAATAATAATTGTTTCAAGATCTCATAGGACCGACCATTATTACAATTACAACCATCAAATGATTGCGGATGAGCCAGCCAGCCACCCATCAAAAGAACAGGACTTTCAATTAAGGATGTTAAATAAACTCATATCCCATAATTTCTCAAGTAGTCAAAATTTGGTTATTATTATCATTATTATTCATTCACATTATTTTTATTTATTAATTAATTATTATTATTATTTATTATTATTTCTATCGTTATACTAACTTTTTTCATCATAAATTTTTTTCATTTAGCTTTTGCTAGTTTTAAGCATATTCAATTCTTTTTTGGGGTCTCATTAAAATTAAATAGAAAAAAATATAGAAGGTACAATGTAGTCCGCAGTGTGTGGCTTCAGGGTGGTCCTGTCACAGACACAGACGCACACACAAACACACACACACACACACACATACACACACACACACGCACACACACACACATTGCTCAAAGACGCCTAGTGAAGGAAAGAAAAAGATAAATGTTATTAATAACGCGTCATAATGAAATTAATGATGTTCCAGATGAATGTGCTTCATATGGGAAACTATGGAAAAAGTATTCTCTGTAAACTAAAAAAATCAAGCTTTTCATTGTGTGGTATAATGGTTAAGGCGTCTGGTTCGGATGATACTGTGCCTAGGTTCAAATGAAAAGAGAATCCCGCCAATAAGTATGTTGCTGGAAAAACCTTTGATATACTTTTGATATGGTAATAAGATTGGAACTAACTGGTCACATAAATAGTATTAATCTTTCTTTCTTCACTATCTCCCTTTCTTAATTTCTTTCCCTCTCTTTTTTCTCTCTTTCTCTCAGCTCATATTTTTTGCCGATTCTGAATGAAAGATTCGTGTACTGATGCATATCCTTGAATGTTTTCAGAGGGAGGGAGAGAGAGAGAGAGAGAGAGAGATGAAATAACTTTTCTCATCTTTCTTAAAATTTAAATATATTTTTTAAGTTTAAATAATTAATTAATTAACAATTAGGAATTCATATAAAACATTGTAACATAAAAAAAAACAATTTTTTTTATTTATTTATTTATAATTATAAAATCAAAAAATCGAAAAAAAATTGACACAAGCAAACATCGTTTCAATTGCTCATTCTCGCATTAAAACTCTCACAGGATACAACAGAGAAAATTGAGAACAAAAATGAAAAACAAACGGTTACCGCAATATAAATAATAATAATTATTCCAATTATAATTATTCAAATTTGTGTTATATTATTTTTATTGGGTTGTAATTAAATGATTGACTTTAATAGGAAAAATAGCATTTATTATCTTTATTGATATATTCAGAAATTGATGAACAAGAGAAATTTTTTACAATAATAATGATATTAGTACTACTGGAGGTAGTAGTAGCAGCTGCAGTGGCAGCAATAGTAGTAGTAGTAGCAGTTGCAGTAGTAGTAGTAGTAGTAGTAGTAGTAGTAGTAGTAGTAGTAGTAGTAGTAGTAGTAGTGGTAATAGTAGTAGTAATAGTAGTAGTAGTAGTAGTAGTAATAGTAGTAGTAGTAGTAATAGTGGTAATAGTAGTAGTAATAAAAACAGCAGTAGTAACAGCCACAGTAGTAGTAATTGTACAAGTAGCGGCAGCAGTACCAGTAGTCATAGCAGCAGCAGCAGTAGTTGTAGTTGTAATACGTAATAGATAAAGTAGTAATAGTTATGATGAAAATAATGTTGGTTATAATAACAATAAACACATCTTATTATGGCCACACTGACACTATAAAGTATTAATAATTTATATTATCGCCATAATTAATTCATAATTTCAGTAATAAAATGTAATATTAAGCAATGAAGGAAGAATAAAAGATTGTAGGAGCATTCTATATGCACTCCCAAGGGTGGGCAAGCATTGTGAGCCCATTTTTTCTTGTGCGAGCTGTTCATTGGCTTCTCTATAATTTATAAAAAAAATATTGTCATATTTAATTTTTTATAAGAAAAAATTATCTCTGATATATTCTATGATATACTCTATGATATACTCTATAATATAGTCTATGATATGTTCTATGATATACTCTATATGTTCTATGATATACTCTATGATATGTTCTATGATATACTCTATGATATGTTCTATGATATACTCTATGATATACACTGTGATATACTCTGTGATATTTTATAAAGAATGAATTGTAAAAAAAAACACATCGACAAGATACATAAAATAACTCAAAATATAAAAATACAATCATACCTACAACAAAAGAACCCTTAAAAAATAATGCAAAAAACGAACCATTCTGCACAATAACCCTTATACCGTCTGAAACGTTAACACTTGTGGCACATTCGTAGAAGCCACTGTCCTCGACACGCGACCACCGAATCGTTAAGGCACTTATGATAGTCTTCATCTCGATTCGTTTCGTTATCAAGACTCGTTCTAGAGAATTCTTTATAACTTCCCCTGTTTGAGGTAGTTTCGTTCTCTCTACTAACGTGTGTGTATTTTTAGAATTTTGGGATTTCCTTGGCAGACTTCGTCTGTAGTTTCTGTTTCGTTTCGTTATTATGTAGTTGCTGAAGTTGTAGTTGCTGTTGGTGGTTAGTTGATTTGAAATCTTGCTGCTGTTGATGTTTTTGTAAAAAATTATGTCGTTGTTAATGTTATTGTGCTGGTTAGTGTTGCTGTCGTTGATGTAATGATGATTGATGTTGTAATCGTGATGTTGCTTACGCTTGGCGTTGTTGTGGTCGTGTGTGGTGTGGTTGTTGTGGTATCGTTTGTAGTGGCGGTGTTGATTCTTTTCGAATATCCGACTGCTATCGTATCGAATGAGTTTTGAGTCTTTGAACCAGTTGACGTCATCGGGCAGGTGGGGGTTTGCCGTGACGTTGCACATTAGGTTTATGACGTCATCACGTAGAACGTACTTTGTGCCCGTCACGTGGATGTCTGGAGACATTTTTTTTAATTTTTTATCTCTGTATTGACTCGTAATTTTTCATATTTTTGGTTATAAATTAGCCTCACCTATTTTGTTTCAGAATCTAGTTCTATAAAATAATTGTATTGGAGACGATGTTCTTCTTAATCCGAATTTTTTTTCTATTAACTAAAATTCCAAGCAATTTATTACATTCTCATTTTTATAAAAGTTTAAAAAAAATGCACACGCACACAAACTGGCAAATGTTTTAAAAGAACGCACACATACACACAAACACACATACACACAAACACACATACACATACACACAAACATACAGGCGCACACGCACACACGTGCGGACACACACAGTAAGACAGACAATCAATAAAACGTGATTATACAAAAAGTACCACACCGCACAGCAGCCAATAATTGCAATCAACGATGAGAAAGAGATAATAAAAAAAATATAACGACAACGAAGATGTCTACCAAGAAGATGAAACAACTAGCAAAAAACTGATTGAAAAACAACAAAAAAACACGAACACACACCCCATTTCAACAAACACGCCACTACAAACACGCCACGCCACAACACACCATAAACATAACACATCTCACGACAAACTATTGACCGAAAAAACGCAACGAACTTTTGACGTAAAGAAGAACTTGATAGGTGCCGAGGTGTCTCTGCGAACTGACCTGACACTGATATACACCACTGTCTGCCACCTGGACATCATTTATTATCAGCCGCCACTCGTCCAGACGCCCCACGCTCTGAACTTTGACTCTGACGTCAGAGGTGAACACGTGACTTCCGATCGTCAGCGGGTGGCCGTCATCTTTACGTTTCCAGGACAACTGCGGAGGTGGTGGTGATAAAAAAAAAAAGATGGAAAGATGAAGATGGGGACAAGTAATTAAGACGATGACGACGATTAGTTTTTAATGAAAGGTAAGGGTAGATGGATAAAATGATACTGATAGCAATGCAAAGTAGTATTAGCAGCAGCAGCAAGCAACAGAAGCAGTAGTAGTAGCAGACGCAGCAAAAGCAGCAGTTGTAGTAGTAGTAGCTGCAGTAGTAGTAGTAGTAGTAGAAGTAGTAGTAGTAGTAGTAGAAGTGGTAGTAGTAGTAGTAATAGTATTTGTAATAACGGTAGTAGCAGTAGTCGAAGTAGTAGTAGCAGTAGTAGCAGTAGTAGTAGCAGTAGTAGTTGTATTCGTATTCAATTACGTATTAAATTAAAATAATAAGTTTTGTCTTTCATTATGAGGCCGTTACAAAGCAACGATTAAAATGAAATACAATATAATACAATACAATACAATACAATGTTATACAATTCAATACAATATAATACAATACAATACAATGTTATACAATTCAATACAATACAACGTATATACAACGTACAAACCATTCATACAATACAGCACAGCTAAACACTTTACAGTACAATACTACACAATAAGATAACATACAATAAAAACACACGCACGCACAAACACACACACAAACAAACACACGCACGCACAAACACACAAACAAACACACACACAAATAAGCACACACACAAACATACACACAAACAAACAAACTGAAATTTATCGAAATGGCCAGATAAAAAATAACCAGCATTGCCATTCTTTGGAGATAAATGAATAACAATATCAACAACAACATCCATAATAATAATAATAATAATAACAAACAATAATAATAATAATAATGACTGCAATAATAAATTTTTTTCAAGGCGCCAATCACGTTAGCAGGTAAGTCTCGAGGTAACCATTCGATGACGTCATGACGATGATGGTAATGACGTCATGATGATGGTAATGACGTCATGACGATGGTGACGATGGTGGTGATCTAGAGAATGGAGTTAATTCGAAGAAGTAGAACAAATACATCGTTATCATCTTCTACATCATCATCTTCCTTATCATCATCACCATCATCATCATCATCATCATTAGTATAACTTTTTTTTCAATATCATCGCCATCATCCTCTTCATCATCATCATCATCTTCGTCATCACCATCATCATCCACTTTTCTCCTATCACCACCCTCACACGTAAGCAAAATTGCACACCATTATTAAAGAGAAGTAGCCAAAGAACCTAAATAAAACCAAAAAACAAATAAGGATAGATTTTTAAACAAAACAAAAAAAAACTTAAAACATTAAAACAGATTTTTTAGACATAATGGATGAAAAACAAAACAAAAAAACGCATTAGGGACAAACTTTTTGTAAAATTTAAACTCCAAGAGTAATAGAGGCGCGCGAAAAATTCTGAAAAAAATGTATCACTTAGAACAATAAAGATAAATGGACAGATGAAAAACACACAAAAAACATTCAAATGCATACAAACATATATATAAAAAAATACAAAACAATATATTTATATATACAAATTATATACAAACGTTAAAAAAATGTACAAATCTATGCAAATTATACACAAGAATGAATAAAAAACTACACAGTGTGTACAAGAACTATACGAAAAATACAAAAACCATACAAAAATATAGCAAAAAACTAACAAACACAGAAGATATAACTATACAATGTATATAAAAACACAAAAAATACAAAAAAACAAAGAAAAGAAAGAAATACATAAAAGATACCGTTTTTGTCCCTAGGTTTCGAACCCAGCATCTTAGCACCGCTCGATCGCCTGGATTGAATGTAACGTTTTGTTGCGGTTGTGTTGCTTTGAAACAAACTTCACTGTGGTTGTTGTTGTCGTTGTTGATGTTGTTGTCATTGTTGATGTTGTTGTCATTATTTTTGTTGTTGTTGATGATGTTGATGTTGTTGTTGATGTTTATAATGTTGTCAAAGTTGACGTTGCTGCTAAGATCCATAATGTGATGTTTGTTGTTGAGGTCGATAATGTTGTTGTTGTTGTTGATTTTGTTGTTGTTGTTGACGTTTACACTATCAAAGGCGATAGTAAAAGAGTCGGGAACATTGATGTTATTTCTATTGTTAATTGTTGGTATGATTGAAATGCTGTTGTTGTTGTTGTTGTTGTTGCTGTTGTTGTGATAATTATTGTAGTAGTTGTTGTTATTATTGATGTAATGTTGATTAATTCGGATGTTGTTGTTATTAACGTTATTAGTGTTTTTTATGTTAATATTATTATTGTTGTTGTTGTTTATGATGTTATTATTGATGAAGTTGTTGTTGTTGTTGTTGATGTTGTTGTTGTTGATGTTTTTGTTGATGTTGTTGTTGTTGTTGTTGATGTTGTTGATGTTGTTGATGTTGTTGTTGTTGTTGATGTTGTTGTTGTTGTTGTTGCTGTTGTTGTTGTTGATGTTTTTGCAGAGGTTAGGATAAATTATTTCGTCATTGTATTCGTAAAGCTTGTTGGTGTGGTTGTCTGTAGCGGGCATTGATTTATCACTGCGCACTACAAATATCAAATCATCTTTGCTGTTGTTAATGTTGTTGTTGTTGTTAATGTTGTTATTATTATTATTATTATTATTATTATTATTATTATTCACATTACTTTTCTGGTACTGGCTATTGTTTGACCGATCTGTGTTTTTATTTTTCAATTTGTTATTATTATTATTATTAAAATGGTTGTTATTAATATTATTATTAATATTATTATTGTTTTTATTATTATTATATTTATTATTATTATATTTATGAAAATAACTTGCGTTTGTACGGTAAGATACGCTTAAATCACTGTCAGTATTATTACCAATTAAAATATAATTTCTGCTAATGATAACATTATTATTATTATTATTGTTTTTATTATTGTTGTTGTTGTTATTGTTATTGTTATTATTATTATTATTGTTGTTTCTTTTATTAATACTGTTGTTGTTATTGATGTCGTTGTTTATGTTGTTGTCACTGACATTAAGGGAGCTGTTTTCTTTAGTGTTATCATCATCATCATTATTTTTAGTAGTAGTAGCAGCAGCAGCATCAGTAGCAGTAGTAGTAGTAAAAGTAGTAGTAAAAGTAGTAGTAATAGTAGCAGTAGTAGTAGCAGTAATGGTTTTAGTAGCAGCAGTAGTAGAAGTAGCAGCAGCAGTAGTAGCAGTAGTAGTTGCAGTAGTAGCAGCAAAAGCAGCAGTATTTGCTGTAGTAGAAATAGAAGTATTGTAGTTTTTGTGCGAATCACTATCATTCTTATAAATATTATAACTATAATTTTTTTTAATGTTGGTGTTATAATATTTATTATTATTATTATCATTGATGCTGTTATGACGACGACGATGATGATGATGATCATAAATTTGTTGCTGGTGATGATGATGATGATGATGACCGATGTTTATAATTTTGGATTCGCCATGCATATCTACACTAAGCATTTCGTCATTGTTGCGATTATTGTTATTACTATTGTTGTTGTTGTTGTTGTTGTTGTTGTTATTATTGTTGTTGCTATTGGTGTTGTTGATGAGGTTGTTGTTATTAATATTATTGTTGTTGCTATTGATGTTGTTGCTGTTATGAGTATTATTATTTTTGTTACTAGTAGCAGTTGTGGTATTAGTAGCAATAATATAATTGCTATATGGGCAAGTAGATGATGTATCGTTGGTGTTAGTTTTGTTGTTGTTGAGGTTAGTAATGTTGTTGTTGTTGTTATAAATATTATTATTATTGTTGTGGTTATTATTATTTACACTTTTCTTATTTCTATGTTTGTAGTTACAACCATATAAACTTCGACTTTTGGTGTTGTAAATAATATTATTATTGTTGCTGTTGTTGATGATGTTATTGTTGTAGTTGTTGATGATGTTGTTGTTGTTGTCTTTGTAAATTTTTAAACCACTGTTTGATATATAATTACATCTCTTACATTTACCTGAAGTAATTCTTGCCAATTTCGATTTCTTTTGATTTCGTTTCGTTTTATTTAGAAAATTGAAGATTTTGTTGTTGTTTTTGTTGTTAATGTTGTTGATGATGCTGTTGTTGATGTTTTCGTTAATGTTGTTGTTGTAGTTGTTGATGTTGTTTATGCTGCTGTTGGTGTGGTTTTTGATGTTGTTGACGTTGTTGTTGTTGTTGTTGTTGATGATGATATTGTTGTTGTTGTTTATTTTATTCACGTCGTAACAACCGCCGATGAAAGAACCGTTGTAAGAGAACTGATTGCAGTAATCAATTCTAGCATTGTTGTT